TCTTTGCGACCAGCTTTGGCGCTGGACCTAAATTTTTCTCCTTATACTTGTCTGCCATGGAAAATGCTCGTGCATCCTCTACCTTCCTTCTTACCTTCACCTCCTCTAGGGCAGGATTTTCCCCGATCGGCTGAGGCCCTAAATTCAGCGCAAACAGGGCTGAAGGCTAGATAAGGTCGTCCCATTTTAGGCCTTCATTCTCTCGCCACTCCTTCACCTGTTTGACCCTCCTCTCAGTCGCAGCGTCTAACTTTGGCTCCAACGACTTAGTAAAAACCTTCCAAATTGTGTGCACTCCCATTCCGCCACTAGCTGACACAAAAAACCATTTTGACCGCTAACCCTTCACCGACGAGGGCAGTCCCGCCACAAATCCCCTTCCTGCTTTGGCTTGAAGGGTCACCCAAGTCTCTTGTTGCCCTGAAACCTTGTAGCAGGAGAAAAATTCATCCACTGTCATTTCCTCTCCTCTGGTCGCCCGTGGCCACGCGATTGCACACGCAAATAGAATTTTTCACGTGTTCGGCATTAGTTATCCTGGGGCCACCTCCAAGCGATCTAGTACGTCAACCACTAGCTGTGGAAGGGGCAGCCTCAGACCTCCCCCCCTCCCAACAGCGCTTCTTTGTACAGAGCGAACGCCATTGGCCGTGCATCAGATGTCCTCTCCTTCGCCGTGGGCACTCTCAACTCTACCTCTGCCAAAATCTGGTATCTACAACGCAGCTCCTCCAGATCCTCTACCGTTAATGTGGATTTGTAAGCCTTGGTATGCCAGTGGTCTGACGCCACTTGGCTAATCGATCGGACCACCGCTATCATTGTCCTTGGAGAGGGTTGCAGTGGCCGCTCCATAACCCTCTCTTCACGCCTCTCTACTTTATATTGCTCCGCCAGTGCCACTCCATCATTATCTCCTAACGCATCCGATGTCATCGCTAATGCTTTGTCTTGTGCCATCTCCTTCATGTTTCTGTATATCGCCTTGGTTGCGGGGGCGAGAAAATCAGCAATGTGAAAAAGGAGAGAGTCCACTGAGATGTAAGAGCTAAAGTCAGGAATGTGTTGATTCTTCGCAATAAGATAAGTAAATCGCACAAGTCCAAATGCCCAAGGTTTTCTTGTGTTTCAAGGATTGAGGTTAAATTTCGCCAGTTTGAAAATCTCACAAAAATTTTAAAATCCCCGCCTCTCCTCTTATCCACTCCTTCCACTCCGACAGTTGATTTGACATCCGTCACTACGGACTTTGATTGCTCCATGTGTACGACCACGATCCCTTCCTTCTCCACGAATTCTCTTTCCTCTCTCCCGTTTATTCACTAATTCTCTGTCCTCTATCCCGCCTATTCTACTTCACTTCACTATCTGCTTGCCTACTCCTCGAGCCCCCTGTACCATCAATTCACTTACGGCAGCCATCACGGTTGACTAGCCCGACTGTCATCTTTCACGCTCGGCTGCCTTCACAGTCGACTAGCTCGACCATCAACCTTTACGATCGACCGCCTTCACGGTCAGCCAGCTAGACTGTCATCTTTTACACTTGACCGCCTTCAGGTCGGCCAGCCCAAACATCAACCTTTTACACTCGGTTGCCTTCACGGTCGGCCAACCCGACTGTCAACCTTTACAATCGGCCGCCTTCACAGTCGTCCAGCCCGACAATCAACCTTTTACGCTCGGTCGTCTTTACGATCAGCCAGTCTGACTGTTAACCTTTACAATTGACCACCTTTACGGTCGACCAGCCCGACCATCAACCTTTCACGCTTGGCCATCTTTACAGTCGGCTAGCCCCAACTGTCATCTTTTATGCTCGGTCGCTTTTACGGTTGACCAACCCGACCATCACCCTGTATGATCGGCCGCCTTCATAGTCGACCAATCCCACTATCACCTTTCACGCTTGGCTGCCTCCACGGTCTTTCGCACTCCGCCCCTTTCAAGGTCGGCCATCTTAGAGTTCGGTCAGCCTTTTCTCACCACTCTACCAGTCATGCCTTCTTCCCAACCCTTCGCGACTCCTGGCACCTTCTTTATTTCCTTTGTTGGACTAAAGCTGCACTTAGAAATAGGGGACTACTAATACTGATGGGTATCCAAGAGAGCCCAACCCATGGTCTGGGTAATACTGGACCAGGACTAACAACATAATGGGCATCCAAAAGGGTCCGGCCCATGACTCAGGACCTAGCCCATGGACTAGTTATTAAAGCCCAACAACCTTGAGAAACCAATGATGGACTAGGACCAATAGCATTCAAACACCTGTCGAGCAGGGAATCGGCCATGTAAGCAGACAAAGATCTTGCAAAGTAATTGCACCCACACATCAGTCATTAATGAGGCTCTCGTAGCATTAAATGCGACAACCCCTTCATGTCAGAGGATATAGACTCACTATGAACGATGCAAGCTAGAATATAGACTTTTGGCCAACAAGAGAGTCTGGAATAGATAGGAAATAATGAGCAAAGGATATAAGGAAACTTTCGAGACACGTTAAAGGTTAAGTTCTTCTTCAGTCTCTTCTATGTATCAATAATCAATCCCCCCCTAACCTAACTTGGTCGTCGGAGAGTCCGTCAGGGGATCCCTTCCTTCTTTGGACCTTTTTGCAGGCTCGTCTGGGAAACACTAAGGTCAGCAGGCCTGTTGGAAGCGTGGATCAGTCTAGCCCATCCTCCGTTGGAACCGCAACATCATCAGTGTGAAATCATGAAAGGGCATGGAAACATTTTTGTGTAAATTTATTGGACTTGTGAAAGATATTTGTTGTCAAGGATCAATTCTAAATGCCTATAATTTTTAGGTAAATTTTACATGCGGTCCATCGTAGAAGTTGAAAGATAAACGACTGAGGAAGCCAATTACACTGTATTTTGGGTTGAATTTGTACATAGCATGAGCTTTATGTGTCCTTTTCTTTGACATTTGAAGAGGCACTTGCACAAGAAGTGGTGAATTTTGGTGAAGCATTCAAAAATAAAGCTAAAATACCCAGAAAAGATATTGGATCATTTTAGACCATGAAAGGTGAAATGTTCATAAAGAGTTGAAAGATCTTTTTATTTTGTTTAAGACCATGACAAGTGAGATTCCCAGTACTTCAGGCCGACAATTCAAAAATGATTTGGCCAAGGTTGTGCCAATTGATGAACTTTGTGCAAGTCAAGGTTTACATAATATTTCTTTACAAACGGGTGAGGAATTTTTGCGGAGTTTCTTCGGGATCGTGCCACACCAAGAACAATACCCCTGATGACTGATATGGATCAGCGCCAACCGAAGAGAGTGGGGTTTAACTTTATTCAGAATAATCAAATGGTTTATGAGGATCTCACTGGAATTCTTGGGATAAGAAGAAGAGATTCTGAAAGTGGGACATATGATTCGGATATCAATTCTGGGGAAGTATATGCAACCGAAGAAGAGCAAAAGGGTTATTCGAATATGGGAAGCAGGTATTATAGGGACTATAGTGCCGATGGTCAACAACTGGATGAGTTTTCTGATGAGGTTAATTTTAATCTTGGCCTATCTTTCCATGTATCAGAGTCCCCTCATTCGTATCAACCTTTTGGTTGTGGCTCGGGAGTTTCAAATGGTTCTTTTCCTGGAAAGATTAAATTCCTCTATAGTTTTAGGGGAAGAATATTACCAAGGCCACGTGATGGGAAGCTTAGATATGTCAGAGGAGAGACACGGATTATATCCACCAAGAAAAACCTAACTTATAGCGAACTTGTGAGGAAAACATTTGCAATTTGCATTTGAAAGGTGAAATGTTCATAAAGAGTTGAAAGATCTTTTTATTTTGTTTGAGACCATGACAAGTGAGGTTCCCGGTACTTCAGGCCGACAGTTCAAAAATGATTTGGCCAAGGTTGTGCCGATTGATGAACTTTATGCAGGTCACGGTTTACATAATATTTCTGTACAGACGGGTGAGGAATTTTCCGCAGAGTTTCTTCGGGATCGTGCCACACCAAGAAGAGTACCCCTCATGACTGATATGGATCAGCGTCAACCAAAGAGAGTGGGGTTTAACTTTGTTCAGAATAATCAAATGGTTTATGAGGATCTCACTGGAATTCTTGGGATAAGAAGAAGAGATTCTGAAAGTGGGACATATGATTCAGATATCAATTCTGGGGAAGTATATGCAACCGAAGAAGAGCAAAAGGGTTATTCGAATATGGGAAGGAGGTATTATAGGGACTATAATGCCGATGGTCAACAACTGGATGAGTTTTCTGATGAGGTTAATTTTAATCTTGACCTATCTTTCCATGCATCAGAGTCCCCTCATTCGTATCAACCTTTTGGTTATGGCTCGGGAGTTTTAGATGGTTCTTTTCTTGGAAAGATTAAATTCCTCTATAGTTTTAGGGGAAGAATATTACCAAGGCCACGTGATGGGAAGCTTAGATACGTCAAAGGAGAGACATGGATTATATCCACCAAGAAAAACCTAACTTATAGCGAACTTGTGAGGAAAACTTCTGCAATTTGCATTCAACCTTATTCGATCAAGTACCAACTCCCCGGTGAGGACCTTGATGCACTTATATCACTGCAGGAAATTAGAGTTTTAGCGGCGTTTCAAAAACACCGCCAAAAGCCTCAAAAATGCCACCAAATGTTACAACGACGTTTAATATTTTCATCACTGATACGGCCGCCGCAATAGCTTTGCAACGTTTGAAAAACGTCACTAAAAATATTTGACGGCGTTTTTGAAAACGCCGCAAAATCTTTGACATTGTTGGAACTTCCGTTAGTAACAGATGACGTCACAATGACGTCATTTAGTGGCGTTTTTACCAAAAATGCCATTTATTTATTTATTTATTTATTTTGGGTGTGTGTTATCATATAAAACTGAAAAAACAGACCAACTCAGTTCCCATCAGTTGCTTTTGCAACAACACATACCAATGAAGCAAAGATGACATACTATTCAATCCAATGTACCAATAAAAATTAACAGCTTTAAGCATCAATACAAATTAACAACTAGTAGCAAATCTAACAACAATACACAATACTCTAAATAGCAATTCACTACATCAAGCAGTTCCAAAAGCTGTTTCTCACAACTGGTCACATCAACCCAAACTTCCACCTGAGTTGTCGGCTTGTCTCCAAGGTGTTCAGAATTTGCAAGTGTATGCCGATTAGCACCAATATTGACATCTAAGATTTCATTTCACTGCATCACATTGATTAATCAAATGCACAGAAATCTCCAGCTTAAAATCTTACTATATGTTAACCCCAAAAATAATGAAATCACAGATTTCAACAATGTATTTCATAATTATAAATTACATTAAGTGAAATGTTACTCCATGTCTTTTGATTCTAAATATGATGTAGAACATGCGGTGTCAGTTAGTTTAGGCATCCAGTCAAAGTTGAAAATTTGGGCCAGAACCACCCATGTTCGATCTAAAACAGCCCAACAACAAAAATTCACTGCTTCACCGCGACCTAAGCCACCAAAGTCTCTCATTTTGGCTCTCAAATTCACATTTGTTCCCCTTTCTATAAAGTTTTAATTTAGTTATGACTTAATTTAGGAGTTTTCATTTTTTTTTTTGACACTTTTCTTATACTTTATAGTATCTCAGTTTGAATCTACTAGAAATTTGCAATTGTTGGTACTTTTGTTCATTATTCTATGTCTTGTTAGAAATAGGATTATTATTTTATATCAAGGGTTGTAAACCTTCACTGAAGTATCTCAGTTTTAATAATATTGGTCTTTCAGTGAGGCTTATTTAATGGTGGATCCTGGTCCTCAGAATAATATGCAATAAGGTGTTCCTACAATCAACATAAAACAAACACCCACAGACTATTAACATTTCAATATTACCATCCTTAAGCCAAATCGGTTCTAACATTTCAATACTGCCACAGTTGAACCAGAGACATTCTGTTTATATATTAAGACCAACATTACCTTCAGCGTGGAACTTTCAGATGATTCAGCAAGCAATGCTTGCATCAACTCTTCCTTCTCCAATGCTAACTGCAAACACAAAGTCCAGAACTCGATAATTCTAAAAGTATACTCAATAATATTACTTCAATTATTTCATCAGGAAATTAAAAATATCAAATATGAAAAAAGGAAAAATATAGATATCAGAACCTTACAAAAATGAAATAAAAAAGGTGCATCCTGCAAGAAACAAGTGAACTGAAATCTATATAAAGATGGAACACATGCTACCTTGGAAATTAATGTGTTAATGTTTCGAATCGTTTTCATTTGATCAATTGGAATATTTAAAGATGAGACTTCAAGATTGAACTGACTATTTTCAGGGAGCAAAGAGGAACTGGAGGCTTCACTTCTGAGAAAAGGTGCAGTACTGTGCATTTCCTGGTTTGAGGTGTCCGCTGTAGCATCTGCATCATCCTCATGGACTAAATTAACAATAAACACAACCAAAAGAGTGATCAAATTCATAGAATGAAAACGACTGTTAAAGCACGATCAATATCCAATAATCACTAGTAATGATACAAATCCATCCATGGCTCACATGGGAGGCAGATTAAAAAAAATCCCTGTTTTTTTTTTTTTTTTTTTTTTTTGAGGTTTCATATATGTTTATCAGTAATGAATCAAGATTTTGAATACCCAATTCTTAGATCTTGAACACCTAATTTGTTGATTCCAATTTTTGCACACGCAACTCACATTCCACTTGAGTAATATTCAAGATCAAAAAACAATCCTCAAACGAAAAAGAAACGGCCTAGTACTATAGAAACCAAACATAAACTCAAATTGGAAGATTGTTTAGTTACTTACATTGAAAATAATTTATTCAATAGTATTTTGCTTGTGATTTGAGAAGTTCAAATTGGAAGATTTATTAGTAGTGGGAAATAACCACTGATAAGTGTATTCTTTTTATACAAATTCTAATTTAAGTTCAAGTTTTTGAATACCCTAACCAAATTTTCTGGAGCCACCACTAATGGCTCATCTGTCCGTAATTGAATCTCATACTTAAAGAACTTAAAGAATAAAATAGTCCATTAACATCTAGCATGACAGATATATAATCACAATGCCAACTGCAATCATCAAAAAATAATTCTTGGTTTCAAAACTATGTTGTAAGAGCATTGAAACAATCCTTGGTTTACAAACTCGCTCTGACACATGCGATTCTCTTGGCAGCAACATAAAAATAGGTTCCACTTAAGCTTTAAGCTTCAATTATGCCACAATCTAATAAAATTCATACACCAACACTATGTATATATAAGGCTAACGAATAAAAATAAATAGATATACTCAAAATAACTCATGAACAGATTTAAACTCCTAAATAACTCAAACTCCCAATTATTGTTGCCTTATCGATCTTCATCAATTCTCCCCACTAAGAAGAACTCCCATATGGAGAATAAAGAGAAAGATAGCACTTAAATCATTCAGAATTAAAGTATCAAAGATTGTCCGTAATAATCGGAGTGGCAACAGTGATGAAGCCAGAGCATATTATTCATATATTTCAAATCAATGATGAACCCAACACCATTCCAATTAGAAAAACTTCAATCACTTCCGATTCCTTTGAAACCAAAAATAAAAAAATAAACTAAAATAAAATAAACTTGAATAATAATTTGAAATTTTTTTTTTTAAAAAAAAAAAACCCCACTCAGAACACCCTAAACTCCTTGACATAAATTTACACCAAATTGAATTTTGCTCCAATATTTACCAAATCAAGAAATTCTCAAATCTATATTCAAAATTAAATTCTAAACTAAGGTCTCAAATTTTCCACTCTGCCATTAGTTTTTACAATACAGATTCAAATAGCTCCCTTCTTTTTATGATTGAAAATAAAGAGCAAATCCCAAGTAATATTGCAATTCTAACAATATATATATATAACTGTATACACAAAGAAGAGAGAGAGAGAGAGAGAGAGAGAGAGAGAGAGAGAGAGAGAGAGAGATCTAATAAAAACTTACAGATTTGAGAAGCCAAATCTCAAACAGGTTTCATGTAGATTAATCGACCAATTGATGAACGATGAGATCTAATAAAAACAGAAAATCAGAAGTGAGAAGCCAGATCTGAGTTAGAATGTAAAAAATCTATTAAAAATAAAAAACCTAAACAAATTGAAACTCACAAAATCGAAAGAGACAACTGCAAATCTGGAGAATCAACCTTCGAATCTTCAAGAATTAACCTTCGAATCTGATGAAGAGATGAGTACAGAGAGTGAGAGAGAGAATTCGAGCAAGAGCGAGAGCGAGACTACGACAGAGAGAATTCGAGCGAGAGCGAGAGTGAGAGAAACTGCAAATCTGGAGAATCAACCTTCGAATCTTCAAGAATTAACCTTCAAATCTTCGATAAACTTCATAGATCTGATGAAGAGATGAGTATAGAGAGTGAGAGTGAGAGTGAGAGTGAGAGTGAGAGAGAGAGAATTCGAGCAAGAGCGACAGTGAGACTAAGACAGAGAATGAGAGCGAGAGCGAGAGTAAGAGACAACTGCAAATCTGGAGAATCAACCTTCGAATCTTCAAGAATCAACTTTCAAATCTTTGACAAACTTCATAGATCTGATGAAGAGATGAGTACAGAGAGTGAGAATGAGACCGAGAGTAAGAGAGAATTTGAGCGAGAGTGAAAATGAGACTGAGACTGATAGAGACTTCGAGCGAAGGCGAGAGTGAGAGTGAGAGTGAGAGTGAGAGTGAGAGTGAATTCGAGCAAGAGTGAGATTGAATTCGAGCAAGAGTGAGAGGGAGGGAGAGAGTGAGATAGGATATGTAACGGTGTCAGATATGCACCCACAACAGCACTGTTTTGAAATTTAATTAACACAGCACTGCAGTTTTTAATTTTTAATTGATCAATGATGGCATTTTAATAAAAATGCCATAAAAAAAACGTTGTCGTAGCTTGTTTTTGTTGTTGTGTATCCGTATCTTCTGATGAAGATCTTCATCATATGCTAGAGGAGTATCATGATTTGGAAAGAGGTTCTCAAAGATTACAGATATTTCTTGTATCTTCCAGTGAAACCAATAGCCCATGTTCGTTTGAGTCGAGGACTGTGCAACAGAGTGATCCTAATTATCAATATCTTGTTACAGTTAATGGCATGCTTGACCCAAGTCCCCGAAGGAGCTCTAGTGGTCATAGTCTGTCAAGTCAATAGCGAGCTAGTGGGGAAGTACCTTTGACAATAGTCCAACTTTTCAAAGAGACTCGCCTACATCGTTTCATCCATTGGAGATTAGAGAAAGAGGAAGCTTCCCTAATTTGACGATGATGCTCTCAAATCCTAACTCTCAGTTTTTAACACACCTCAGAATGCAAACAAGTCATATAGTCAATCTCCTCCTTTGTCTCCAGTGCCAGGTTAGCATAGAGATCCTAAGAATGCCCGTATGCAAATGTATGAGGATCACGCAGTTGCCGATGGTCATAACAGTCCACGTGTTATGGACCAGCCGGCATATGACAATTCCTATAATTTTGATGCACCAAGCAATTACTATAATCAACTTTACGAGCCTCGGCAGGTGATGAATTACCATCATCATAACAAACGTTTGATAGAACCCAACCGGGCTCATGAAATGCATTTTCACAATCATAGCCCCAGTGATGATTTTGTTTATTCTCCACTATATAGTCAAAATGATATGGACTTTGGGAGGCCCATCGTTAATGAAATGGGATTGCAGTCTGAAAAGTTCCTGTCTTCTCCTGAAGATACAAGGGGTCCTTTCCATGGATCTGACATTTCATTTGGCTCTCTAAATGGAATGTCTCATGTGCAATCTGAGTCACAATTACACTGTGAAGAGTGGTCCAATTACCCATTGGAACAAGAGAACGTCTCATGGTACCCATTGGATTTCAAAATGAAAAAATCACCTTCACTGACATTGTCAACTTTATCAAGAGAATTCCAAATGCAACAACAAGAGATTAGTGGTGAGAAATGCGAATCATCTAAATAGGAGAATATGCCCACTTTCAAGCCAGGGGATTACAACGAGGAATATACGGAATGGGGACAAGATATGTCGATGCGGATGGGCAAGAAAGTTGTTCCTTTGAGTCAGGATGCAAAATTTTATGATGGAAAAGTTAACCCTATTTCGAATGCTAATGACATGGAACATAACTTGATTAACTTCTATGAAAATGCAATACCACGACTAGAGCAACAAGAGTTAAAAGTCCCTGAAGGCACAAACTCTGTTTACCTTGCCACTGCACCGGAAGATTTTGCAAGTACTATGAGAGAGCGCCCTAATGATTACAACTTCAATCCGTCAGCACCTAAATTTCTTAACAAGGATGTTGTAACTAGGACAATAAGAACTATAAAAGTTTCTGATGGATCTTCTGGAGGACCTGGACAACAACTTGTTGTGGCTCAAGGCATGAATGGACAAGAACCCATTCTAGCAAACCCTGTATATCTAACTGCATTTGCACATGGTGTGTCTCATTCAAGCTTAAACTTGTATAAGAATGACCCTCATGTTACTGGTGTTTCAACTCAAAATCCAAGCACAAATGCTGCTTTAGGAAGGGAGATTTCTCATCTTGGGGAGGGCCTAGTGAAACATTGTAGTAATAGTGTTAGACAAGTAGGCTCCCAAGGACACATTTTTGAGGGATCGAAGCTTTGGAGATGCCATCATCATCCGGTCAAAGCACTCAGATATTCATTCTCAGAATGGTGTATCGGAATCAGCAGTCATTGTTGAAGATGTAACCGATAGTATTCCTTCTGATGTGCCATCATCCTCAAAGATTGTTCCATATGTGGAATATGAACCAAACGATGAAATTCATTCTCCTAGAGGAGCAGAAATTAAGAGTGTCGCCCTAGAGTCCGACTTTGATGTAATTTTTTTTTTTTTTTTGGGAAATGTTGTTCACGGCCACTGTGGCTGTGTCATAGCCCTCCCTCTCACATGGGTTGATTCTTTATTATGATAGAGGGAACTACAGATAGACATTGTGGCTGTGAGTTTATCAATTTCTTTCTTTTCCTACAACTTTGTAGATTATGATATTGTGATTTCTGTTTTTGTTGGAAGCTTTGAGTTAATTCTTTTTGTTTTGTAGGATGTAGAAGGTGAAGGCGATGACGACTTTGGAGGTGGAGGCGATAGTGGTTGGCAACGACGGTGGAGGTGGAGGCGAAGACGTTGGTGGCGGTGGAGATGAAGACATCAATGGAGGTTGAAGCAATGGTGAAAGTGGAAGAAGATGCCGATTGAGGTCACCGGCAATGACGACAGTGGAGGCGGCGATGGTTGGCAACAGTGGAGATGGCGATGGTCGTTGGTAGAGAAATGTACAGAGAGAGAAAGAGAGAGAGAGAGAGAGAGCTTTTTTTTTCATTTTTTATCTCCAGATCTGAGTATAAAAACATGAGGGCAAAAATGGAATAAACAAAAATGTTTAGGATCTGTAGGTAAAAGAGTCTTCATTAAGGACTTGTTGGGTACACTACAGGAAATGCCACTTTTGGCGACCAAAATATTGGTCGCCAAAAGCCCCAGTTTTGATCGCCGAAACAAATTAGCGACTAATATTTTTTGTCGCCAAAGTCGTCGCCTATAGCCTGTCGGCGATAGTATTGGCGACTAAACTATTTTTGGTCACTGAAAGTGAACGTTTTGGCTACTAAACTCTGGTTAGTCAGCAAAGGTTATCTTTTGGTGACTAAAATATTAGTCGCCAAAAGTGAACATTCAGCTACCAAACTCTGAGTAGTCGGGAAAGGGTATATTTTGGCGACTAAATATTTAGTCGCCAAAGTGTTCAAATAAAATAAGTGAAGGCGACGACGACTTTGGAGGTGGAGGCGGTAGTGGTTGGCAACGACGGTGGAGGTGGAGGCGAAGACGTTGGTGGCGGTGGAGATGAAGACATCAATGGAGGTTGAAGCAATGGTGAAAGTGGAAGAAGATGCCGATTGAGGTCACCGGCAATGACGACAGTGGAGGCGGCGATGGTTGGCAACAGTGGAGATGGCGATGGTCGTTGGTAGAGAAATGTACAGAGAGAGAAAGAGAGAGAGAGAGAGAGAGCTTTTTTTTTCATTTTTTATCTCCAGATCTGAGTATAAAAACATGAGGGCAAAAATGAAATAAACAAAAATGCTTAGGATCTGTAGGTAAAAGAGTCTTCATTAAGGACCTGTTGGGTAATAACCCTTGAAAATAGAGCTAACCCGTAAAAATCCTAATTTTTTAATAGAAAGGACGGGGGCTATATCTCAGGGGTTGTGGGCTGGTTTTTGGTAGACTGACCCAACCGGCTGAGCCATGGGTTCTATTCTTCAACATAGGCCTAGACTATACATTTTAAGGCCGAGACGAACAAGCCCATACTGAATTATAGCCAAGCTAAAGCTCAATGGGTTGAGCCCAGCATAGTCATGGGCTCTAAGCTTTTTGACGAGGCTTACCCAAAATTTGAATGGTTTAAAATCTATATTTTATACTTAAGTTGTGTTTGGTTTGAGGATTTGATGATGAAAATGAAAAGAGAAATAGGAACAAAAGGAGAAAGAATTGATAGGATTAGAATTTCAAATTACGTTTGGTTGAGTTGGAAAATGGAAAAAGAAAAGAGTCTAAAAGTGAACAAAAAAGACAAAAAGTGATATTATATTTTTCTCTCACTTACTTTTTTTTCCTACGTTTTTCATTATATAATCAAACAAAAAGTGAGATTACATTTTCTTTTTCATTTCTATTTCACTCATCAAATTCTCCAACTAAACATAACCTTAATGAAATGGCCCAAAACTACATGGGTTTCAGTTGGCCCAAAAAATGTCACGAGTCTTAACCTCCATAAGTTGAGGGACATCTCTTTTATTTACGAGAAATGCGCCGGACCCTCGGTAAACCCCACCCCCATCGACCCCCAGTGCCACGTGGCACTGCGGGATTGGAAGGAAAGAAAAAAAAAAAACAGAAAACTGGCCAATGGGGACGCGCCACATCACTGGGGGTCGACCCCCAGTGGGGGTCTGTAGCAGCGTTGTTTATTTACTATCTCATGCTTTAGTGTCTGAATTAAGAACAAATAAATAAAGTGACCCATAGAAAATTACCAAGTTATACATAGATGACCGTAATCTTCTTAACTCTTTTTAACTGCTTAGTCGCCAATTGTAATATCTTTAGCTACTAAATTTTTTTTAGTAGCCAATAATCAACATTCCCCTACTAAAAAAAATTAGTAGCTAAAAAGTTGACTTTTGCCGACTAATATTATTTTTGGTAGCCAATTCCGTGACTTTTGGCGACTAAATTAGTTTTGATAGCTAAAAGTGGTCGGCAAAAATGCTT